CACATTTTATGACTGGAAGATGACAACTAGAATAGGCCCAGACTCTGCACACAGATTTGTTGACTGGTTTGTCATGAGATAAAAGCCAGTAGTAGATTCGCCATAGCAGCAGACTGACCAGACCAGCTATAGCAGAGAGGCTATGGAGCAGAGCGGCTGTAGCTCAGTGGTAAAGTGCAAGCTTTCATTCCCTGCCATCTCCTATTATTATCATCATAATCATCATCATTATTTTATTATTATTATTATGTCTCATTGTGGAAATAGATACAACGAGCTCTAGAAAGAGGCTCTAGACGGGTGCCCTGGCCTTGGGCACTCAGTGTCAATTTGCTGTGGTGACCTCAGCAGGGTATAATGACATAGAGCTTACCGTTTCTCCAGGAAAAGCAATTTTAATTCTGAGTGATTTCCAGCCCTCACCTGGAGAGTGGCAACAGTGAGTTCCCCAGGAGGAAATGGCTGGTTTGGAGGGTAGAGTCTATGGCATTGTACCTGTCTGAGGTCCCACCCCTCCACAAGCCCCACCCTCTCCAGGGTCCACCCCTCATATCTCCAGGAATTTCCCAATCTGGAGGTGGCAACCCTATCTCCTTCCCAGGCAACCATCAATCTACCTTTATCTGCCCCTCTGACTTCAGCTTTCCATCTCTCCCCTCCTCCCCACCTGCAGCCTCTACCTAGGAGAACTGCAATCTTTCTCTGCAGTGGGGACCCAAGCAGGAGGGAAGCAACCTTAGCAGGGTATGACGACACAGAGTCCACCCTGCAAAGCAGCTATTTTTTCCAGGGAAGCTGATCTCTGCCGTCTGGAGAGCAGTTTTAATTCTGAGTGATATCCAGCCCTCACCTGGAGATTGGCAGCAGTGGTTCCCCAGGAGGAAAAGTACAGTCTTCACAGAGGACATCAAAACAGCTTACATCATTCTCCTCCCCCCTTTTGATCTGCACAACAACCCTGTGAAGTAGGTTAGGCTAAAAGTCTGTGACTGATCCGAAATCACCCACTCAACTTCCATAGCAGGAACCTGCTCTGAAGTGCTAACTGCTATGTCTAGGGTAGCCAACCTCCAGGTGGAGCCTGACAATCACTGGGTATCACAACTGAACTCCAGACAACAGATCTCTCCCCCCTGGAGAAAACAACTGCTTTGGAGGGTGGGCTTTATGGCATTCTATTCAGCGGAGGCCTCTCCCCTTCCCAAACTCTGGCTTCTGTAGACTCCATCACAAAATATCCAGGAATTTCCCAACCTGGAGCTGGCAACCCTAGTCAGGATGGGCCCCAATGAGTTCCCCACAAAGGCCTGGAAAGGGCCTCCTGTCTTTGCCTTTTTACTGACAGAACCAACCTTGGTTGCCTAGCAACAGTCACTGAGGGAAAAGTTAGTCCCACAGGAGCCAAGCAGGAGAAGTGTCTTCATCAGGAAAGTCTGCTGTTTTGATAGTTAACTCTGTGAAGGAAGAGTGTCCAGGCTTGGCGGGGGAGAGGAGCGGACCCAGCACCCAGCCAATGGCACGCAGGTACTCTTGAGTGGCAGTTGATGGGCCAATGGCTGATGGAGCGCACAGCACAGCCAGTGGGGGAGCTGGAAATGGCCAATGCGTTAGGGCAATTATATATATCAGTTTATTATTATTATCATTATTATTATATAGACCACCATCCCCCAAAAGGTTCGGGGTGGTGTTCAGTGTCCAACAAGTACATATCAATCAAGAGTTAAATCCTGTTTAAACAATTTAACAATTAAAACAATACAATACATGCAGTAAAACTAATCCAGGTGGCGTTTGATGTAAATCTAAGTAGATTTACACCCTTCTAAGATTATAGAGCTGAATAGAATTAGGAGGATGTAACTGTTTAGGGGGTCCGTGGGAGTATAAAGAGCAGAGGGTGGGGCTGCCTCTGAGAGCAGGAAGCAGAGGGCGGGGCTGCCAAACTTCCCAGCTATAGCTTCAAGCGTCTGTAAACCTCGTCATGGGTAGGAGCTGGTGGAGGGGTGTCCTTCTGCTGTGATCTTTGTGCTTCTTTTTTATTTTAAAACTGACTTTGCAAAACCCCATAATTCCCCCACCTTTCCAGTTTAGGCAGACGTGTTTTAAGGGGGGGGTTGGGACCAGCCAGGGTTAAAATCAGAGGTCATATCGGGGGGGTCGCAGTTCCCCCGGGTGAGGTACGGGGGGCGAGGCACATGACGAAGCCCCGCCCCCTGCTTCCAGCCGCCCCACTTCCAGCCCTCATTCAGCCAGGAGGAGGCAGGAGAAGAGGGAGGGTAAGTTGCTTCCTTGCACTCCCGCCGGCCTTGCAGGTCCACCGCCGGGCCCCTCATGGGGCTTGGCAGTGGAGCTGCAAGGCCGGCGGTGGCTGGGACCGTTAGGGGCGGGGTATGTGGCCTTATGACACACTTCCGGTGATGTCAGGGGGTGTGGCCTTATGACACACTTCTGGTGATGTCAGGGGGTGTGGCATATGCTAATGAGTTATGCTAAATAAAACATTGTAACAGCTTTGTCTGTACAAGAATGGACTGGTTCTGCAGGATATCTGAAAAACAGCTAAGGGCATGACAAACTGCCTGCAACTCTAGCACATTAACATGAAGCTGCTTCTCATCTTTTGAACTTGTACCCTGGGCAGACAATTCCTCACAATGGGCACCCCATCCCATGAGCAAAGTGTTTGTAGTAAGGACGGCTTCATGCTCAGGAACTCCAAAGGAAATGCCCTAGGATAGATTGCCATGGCAAATCCACCATGACTGATCTGGGAATAGAAAACTTATGCCATTGGGTGTGTAAACAAGCTCTACAGTAAGTCTGGGAATAGAAAACATATGTCATTGGGCATGTAAATCAGCTTTGTAGCAAGACAGAAATCAGAGCTGCAGAGGCCACATATGTAACCTGGTGAGGGGCAAGCCTGCCATCATAGAAACCATATACCCCAAAAGGCAAAGGATTTTTTGAACTGACTGTAACTAGCTTGATCTAAACTGTCTAACTAAAACAGAGATGGCTTACACTCCGTCAGGGGGCAAAAACCCCTTTTCCTGCTAAGGAATCCAACATGGCCCCAATAAATTGTACCCTCTGGGATGGGTCTAAAGAGGACCTCTCCCAGTTCACAAGGAGTTCCAATCTTTGGCAAGTCTCCAGGACTAGGGAGCAATGCCTCAATAATTGGTCTCTGGAGTCTACCACCAACAGCCAACCATCTAAGTAAAGGAGTATATGGCAACCTTGCATATAAAGGTAGGGCAATCACTGGAGCTAAATACTTTGAAAATTCCCTGGGCACCATGGCCAGACCAAAGGACAGGGCCGTGTACTGGAACACTTCATGTTCCACATGAAAAGCATAGGAATTTGCAGTGTTGAGGATGGATTGAAATGTGAAAGTAGGCATCTTTCAAGTCAGTAACAGTTAACCAACTGTTAAACTTTAATCATTGTAAAACTGCAGGAATGGAAACCATGTGAAACTTAGATACATAAAGAAAAATATTCAAACTTCTGAGGTCTAGAATGGGCCTAGCTCCATTATCCGCTAGGAACATACGGGAGAAAAAATCCTTGGGTTCCTGGGGCTCTTGACACCTCCTCAATCACACCCTTATCAATTAGTGCAGTTAAAGCTGGAGACAGGTCCAATGCTGCCTGGCTAAATACCCCCTCAGGGCAACAAACATGGAGAAACAGACTTAAAATGCTAACCTATAACCTAGTCTCACTATGAACAAAACCCACTCATTGGAGGTAATAGCCTCCCAGGCAGCGTAAAACTGAACTAGCTTGTCTCCAAACTTAACAGGAGTGGAAACTGCTCCTAGTCAGAAGGAAGATTTCTGAGATGGGGCTGCCTCTCTGGGAGGAGGCGGTTGGTGGGTCAACCTAGGCCGGCTGGAACCTTTACGCCTGTGATAACCCTGTTGTGGAGTATACGGCTTAGGAGTAGGATACTGAGGCCCCAAAGGGCTAGTGGCTAATCCCTCTGGTAATCCCTCTGGTAAGGGTGCCAGGGCTGCCCGCCCAATGTGAAAAACTGGATACTCCAAAAAGACAAGCTTCTCTTTCAGCTGTAAAAGAGGAACTGAGAGTGGGGGCACTGCTGTGCAGGAGCATGTAGTTCTTAGGTGGGAAAAAGCTTCTGGCTATGGTGCACAGCACCCCCTGGAAGCTTTTAGCTGTAAAAACCTCTCCAGTGGCAGGCCTGCTTATGGCGCAATCCCCATGTGGGACTGCACAGAAGGTTGATGATGAACCCCAGTTTTATGCACATATCTCAGAATGAGTTCCTGATTATGGACTATATAATTAACAAACCAATAAAAGGTACATTAGCTTGCTAGATTTGACTGGTGTGTTCTGGATTTGTTCTTTTTCTCTCTGATCAATGTGTCATATTCAGAATTCGGATTTATTAACACCTGGAAACACTTAGCTATACAGGATCTGAACTCTGACTTCAGGCCAGCACATGAACTCTCATACAGTCATGCGACTGAACCCTGGCAACCTGCCTTCCCCCCAACCCTGGAGATGCTATGGTGATTTGGAGAGAGAAACAGTCCATGGGATAAATTCTGAGATAAATAGAAGTTTGGGAGGCAGCTTAGAGCAGAAAAGCAGCAGATAGGGGAAAGGGTTGAGAACCCTATGCTGCTGCTTCTGTTATTTAAATTGCTGCTCCTAAACCAGCTATTCTTGGTTGGAGGGTTGCTGGGGTTCAGTTGTATGCTTGCTTGTAACATGCTAATAATCCCCATGTTTCATTTCTGCAGTGGACTTCATATTTCTTCACAGGGATTTGCAGAATTTTGTGAACGCTTACTAATGTTAATTGCTTCAGCTATATTGAGTTCCATAACTGCTTTAAAATTTTCCTCAGTTCTTGAAATATTTATTATTAAAACATTTATATCCTGCCTTTCCTTTTGGTTCATTTTGAAATACACTCACACAACTGATTTTTTTTTGTCTTGCACTTTTCACAGGTAAAATCCCTGGGCTGTGATGGGACTCAGCCTTCTGTTCCTGCTTGGCTTGATTCCCTGGGACTGCAGGATTACATTCAATCATTTCTGTCAAGTGGCTACAGTTCTATAGACTCTGTGAAAAACCTTTGGGAGCTAGAACTAGTTAATGTGAGCATTCAACATAACTCCAGTTAAAATCAAGATTTAGATATGTGGTGTAGTGAAAAATATTAGCTCTACAGAACTCTGCCTCTAATTAATATTGAGAAGTCACAATATAAGACACTTTCAGTTTTAAGAAATGCTTTCACCTTTCTTGTAGGTGCTCAAAGTAATTCTTCTTGGTCATCGTAAGCGCATAATAGCCTCTCTGGCAGACAGGCCATATGAGGAGCCTCCACAGAAACCACCACGGTTCTCTCAGCTAAGGGTGAGTCATGGTTTATAGTTGTGACTGCTTGTCTGGTAATTATTCATAGAACATTGGGGCTAGCATCATTTCTATCTTCAGTGGTCGTCTGAATCAAGGCAGCCCCCCCCCCCCCCGGCAGAAGTTGAACCTTGTCAGGAGGGAAGTTTTGGAAACCACAGAAGTAAGTTGGGAGCTCAGGTGCTACATAGCACCTCCTTATGGGCATAAATTGAAAATGCAGAATTTGTGTGTTGTGTTATATGCTGACAAGTCACTTTTGACTTATGGCAACCCTATGACTTAAAGACCTCCAAAATATCCTATCACTAACATCCTTGCACAAGTCTTGCAGACTGAAGGCCAGAGCTTCCTTTATTGAGTCATTCCATCTCTTTTTGGGTCTTCCTCTTCTCCTGCCTTCAACTTTTCCTGGTATTATTGACTTTTCCATTGAGTCTTGTCTTTTCATGATGTGACCAAGTACAATAGTCATTTAGTTTAGTCATTGAAGCTTCTAGAAATAATTCAGGCTTGATTTGATCTAGAACACAACTGACTTTTTGGCAGTCCATGGCATCCATAAAGTTCTCCTCCAGCACCACATTTCGAACGAATCAGTTTTCTTCCTGTCAGCTTTCTTCACTGTCCAGCTTTTATACACCTTTGCATAGTAATGGGGAATACTATAGTATTTATGTGTGTGTGTGTGTGTGTTAAATTTATATCCTGCACCTCCCTGCCGAGGCAGGCTTAGGGCGGCTTACAATATACATATATAAATATATCTGTTAAAACACTGACATATAATAAAACACAAATTAATTAAAATCACAATATATATAAAATTGTACATATTCACAGATGTTAATGGCAGATGGCGTCGATCTCTCGGCATTAAACGGTCACCCGCCACCTTAGTCGAGGCTCGTGTCGGCTGTTGATGCTGATGGTGATGTTAGGGCCAGGGCCAGAATATTAAAGGCGGCACCCTAATTGAAAGCCTGGTGGAAGAGCTCCATTTTACAGGCTCATTCCAGCAGTAAGGGGCCGCCACAGAAAAGGCCCTGGCCCTCGTTGCAGCCAGCCTGGCTTCTTTAGGACCTGGGAGGACCGGGCAATTTTGGGATCCTGATCTTAGTGCTCTCCGGGGGACATGTGGGGAAAGGCGGTCCCTTAGGTAAGTAGGTCCCTGACCATATAGGGCTTTAAAGGCAGCCAGTGCAGCACTTTTAGGGTGGGCTGGATGTGTTCCTGCAAAGGAAGACACAACAACAGCCTCGCCGCTGCGTTCTGCACCAGCTGCAGCTTCCGGATTTGAGACAAGGGCAGCCCCATGTAGAGAGCATTACAGAAATCCAATCTCGAGGTGATCATTGCATGGATCACTGTTGCCATGTCATTGCGTTAAAGGAAGGGAACCAACTGCTTAATCAGCCACAGATGATAGAAGGCAGACTTCACAGTGGCTGCTACCTGGGCCTCCATCGTTAAGGAGGCATCCAGGAGCACTCCCAAGCTCCTAACCTCCGGCACTGGCACCAACGGCGCCCCATCGAAGGTCGGGAGAGGGATCCCTAACACTGGCCCGCTCCAACTCAGGCACAGGACCTCCGTCTTCATCAGATTCAGTTTCAATCGACTCAGTCTTAACCAACCAGCCACGGCTTTCAACGCCAGATCTCCCGGACTAGAGTCTGACTGACCGTCCAACAGCAGATAGAGCTGGGTGTTATCAGCATACTGGTGACAACCCAGTCCGTACCTCCAGGCAATCTGGGCAAGGGGGTGCATATAGATGTTAAATAGCATTGAGGAGGGCACCGCTCCTTCGGGCACTCCGCAAGTTAGTGGGTGCCTTCCGAATAGCTGTTCCCCAACTGCCACCCTTTGTCCCTGACCCTGCAGGAATGAGGAGAGCCACTGCAAGGCAAACCCCTGAATCCCACTGTCGGCGAGGCAGTGGGTCAGTAGTTGATGGTTGACCGTGTCGAACGCTGCCAACAGGTCTAACAACCAGGGCTATTTTGGGGCAGGAACGCACAGGAACAGAGTTCTGGCTGGCTCCCAAGTTGAAACAAAACAGACCTCCCAGTAATCACACAGCCAAGAAAACAAGACAAAACTGGGGCCAATATAGAACCAATAATACACTCTAAAACATGAGTAGTATGCTGAATACAATTGCTTTATACTAGATAGTTACTATGAAGTATACAAAATTTCCCCAAATATTTACAACAATAAGAATACAATAGAATGTCAGTGGCTGCCAACAGCCTCAAGATAACAGTGGAATTCCTAAACAGTTACTGTTGGCAGTCAAAAAAGTATAAGGCTTAATGAGTTAAAAGCTACTGGAGCTTGACGAAGCAGCCGGCTTACACTTGGTTTCGTCTAGTGACTTCCTCATAAGCAGCTTAACTGATGTTGTATATAAATTTTCTTAATATGTGTATTTTCCTGGTTTTTAAGATACTTCTCTAGAGTTGCTACCTTTAATATAGGGACTAGCCCTTATTTCCTTGGACCATATCTCCTATGGGACCTGTCCTTGATAGACTAAGCTTCGTAGCCAAAGACCTTAAGCTGCTTATGAGGAAGTCACTTTAGTGCACCTCATAACCCATCACGGTCAGCTTTAATTAGTCATGATGGGCATGGGTCAAGGCTACAAGTGGTTGGGTGAACAGCTGAGAGTAATTTGTCAACCTCTAGGCTGAGTGAACTGAAATAATCCAGAACTTGACCAGAAGACATGCATGGGGCCTCGAGTTCTGCTACTGTCTCAACTGAGGCGGGGAGGTCGTGGTGGAGCGACAGGACTTTATCTGCGAAATAGCTCACAAAAGCCTCACAGCTAGTTTCCAATTCCTTATTGTTTGGTCTGCCCTGTGGCAGAGTTTTAAGAGACCGAATTGTTCTAAATAATTAGGCTGGGCAAGAACTTGCAGACACAATCGTAGCCGCATAGTATTCTCTTTTTGCGGCTTTGACTGCCATCTCATAGGATCTCATAAATGTCCTATAAAATGCTCTTGACGCTTCTGTCGCGAGCGCGTTGCCACTGTCTCGCTAGCCATCTAAGCTCCCGCTTCATCACCCTCAACTCCTGTGTATACCATGGAGCGAATTTTGAGCGGGGGTGCAGAGGGCGTCGGGGAGCAATCTCGTCGATGGCCTCCGAGAGTCGGCTTTGCCAGTCCTTGACAAGCTCATCCAGCAAGCCGCCAGGAGGCATCGGATCCCACAGGGCCATTTGGAGCCGCATTGAGTCCATTTGGCTCTGCAGGCAATAAAATAGGCTCGCCGCCCAAACAGGGTCAAGGCGGCCCGTTCACACAGGTCTTCAGAACATGGTGATCCGAACATAGAACGGCCGTAATGCGGTCTACTGTAACTCCCGCCATGAAGATCAAATCGAGCTGTGCCCAGCTCGGTGAGTGGGTGCTGTAACACGTTGGGAGAGTCCTAGTGTCGCCATGGACAACACCAGATCCATTGCCTGCGTCATCAGCATGGACATTGAAGTCACCCAGGACTAGCAGTCTAGGGTGTTCCAGTGCCCAGCTTGATACGGCCTCCAGCAGGGATGGCGGGCTATTTGTCAGTGCGTTGGGCGGGCAGTACACCAACCAAACAGCCAAACTCTCCCCAGCTTCCCACACAAAGCCAGCACAATTATCTTGATCTTGGTCACCAACACTAATCCTTACACTGAAGAACCTTTTCTACCTCCTCCATGGCTGCCCTTCCTATTTCATGGTTGCTGTCTCCCTTTTGGTTGATGTTGGAGCCAAGGAATAGAAAATCATAAACAAGTTAAATTTCTTCGTTGTCCATCTTAAAGTTGTATAATTCCTCAGTAGTCATAACTTTTGTCATCTTGATGTTCAGCTGTAATCCTGATTTAGCGCTTTCTCCTTTAACATTCATCAGTCTTCGTTTCTTTACTGTTTTCTGGCAGTAATGTGGTTTCATCTGTGTATCAAATAATTTTGTTCCTTCCACCAATTCTCACTCCAATATAAATCTAAATCAAATCTAGCTTGTCCTTGTAACTCTACAAATAAATTGCATCTCTTCATAAATTATTTCAATGGACATAATCATTGTAAGCTGTGAGTTTATCTAGCATATGTTAAAGGGAGAACAAATGGAAAGTTCTCTTTAGAAATCCATTTTATGTGAATGGCTCTCTTATCTATAGAACAAGGAGAATCCTAGTTTTTGTTCAGCGTTGTGAGCATTTCTTGGATAGGTGGTCTGCAAGTTATGGCAGAGCTGTGTCCCTATAGGCACCTCTGTTCTACCATAGGGGAACTGGAATTCTCCTGGCTGACCCAGATTCCAAGGTACTCATTGAAGAGTTCACCTCTCCAGCCTTGCTCCATCATCTTTCAACAGGAGTAAGAACTTTTGCACGACTTGCCACTAACAGAGGACCCTAGAACTAAGCCAGTGTAGTCTCTCTAAAAATTAAACCATCTCTCCCCCACTCCCTTTTGTTTCTAAAGACTTGTTTTCAGATCTTTGCAGGGACACCACACAGATATTAGAAATCAGATATTTGAAAAATGCAGTTTCTTTAGGGAACCACTTTTTCTGATGTTCTTTCTGAAAGCATGTTTTTGGGGGATGGTTGGTTATCACCCAAATGAACTATTTGCATTATATTATTGAAAACCTCATCTGTCAGTATTGTCTTCATGGCTTGCAATTATGAGTATATGCAACAACAAAAGATCAGTTGTTTTACTGTATGCATCTGTTTCTAGTGCCAGGATTTGATGTCCCAGACGTCCTCACCGCTGAGCCAGAGTGACTCCTGCACAGGGAGGTCTGCAGATCTCCTGCTTCCTTTAGGGAATACTGGAAAGAAGAGACAAGAGAGTAGCCGTGATATTGCATCTTACCCCAGAGCTGACAGAGTCAAGACACAGGTCGGAGTACAGTTATCTGAAATGCTTTTTGTTTTTATAATCTTACGATCTTTTCTACAGAATTCTGTATTGGCCTGTTAGATGTAGGAGGAAGTGATTGAGTCATCACTGCTTTATTATGGGGGGGGGGGGGGTTAGTTTTACTTATGTATTGAAGAACAGCACTCACATTTATAAAAATACTTTGATGTACCAGAGATGTTAAGAGGTAGATAACCCAATTCTAACTGAAGATCTCACGTCTGTTCTCAGGAGGGATGCCGTGAACCCAAACTTACACTCAGACCCCCAAGTCTGGCTGCTCCCTATGCACCTGTCCAACACTGGCAGCACCAGCCAGAGAAGCTTATATTTGAGTCCTGTGGGTATGAAGCCAATGTACGTATATTCTAGTTTCTTGCACCTGAGGGTATGATTTTGGTTTTGTCTGCCATCTACACAAGAGCTGCTTTTAGTTACTGCTGTTTGCTTTAGGCTGCTGCTGCGCCCTGCAGAGGTATTCAAGTATTATATTCTTTGGGATGGTTTCAGAGGCAGACACTTTTGCCCATCAGTAGTGGCAATGTTTCCTTCATATCTTTTTGGAATATTATGTTCAAATAATGGTACTAACGATTGGTATTGTTTCTCTGTTTTTAATTAGTATCTTGGGTCCATGCTAATCAAAGATCTTCGTGGTACAGAATCTACACAGGATGCCTGTGCAAAAATGAGGGTAGGTATGCACTGTTTAAAAATATAAAGTGTCTGAAATCCATCTTGAAAAGATAGTGTATTGCATGGCTATGAGTCTGGAGCTTCTGCTCCACATTCTGTATGTTCATACCACAGTCAGGTTGCAGCTGGTTGTCAGTTTCATTATTGTTTTCAGCATGTAAAATCATTGTCCAGAAAGAAAATGCAGATGTTTTTGTTTTGTGATACAACTCACTGGGTTTCTTTTATCTGGAAATGGAAGACTTAGCTTTTAAAAAGGCATTATTTCAGAATATCCAAATTATAAATACCTTGCAAAGAAGCTGAAGTCTGGTGTGGGAGATTTGTGAACTCTCTTGCCCCCCTTTCAAAAGAAGGTAAAACGATTCCATCTGTGCCTACTAATGAAAGAGGGTTTTTTTCTTTTAAAAGAAATCAACTGAACATATGAAGAAGACCCCAACTATAATATTATCCATCACTTACAAAGGAGTGAAGTTCATAGATGCCTCTAACAAGGTGAGAGAGCATTGCGGTTATGGTTTAACATTTTGATTCTTGAGCATCAAGTGATAATGGCAATTGCTGGTATCTATTTTGCAATTTTTCACATTTTTATCAGTAGAAAAAATGTAAAATCCTGTCAATATATAGGATTATACTCAGTTCCATTACTCAGCCGCTTAATTAGAAGAAGAAAAATTGAAACGTCCATATACCTGGGAAAGGCGTTCAGCTGTAGGAGATTTCCCACTGGTCGTCCTCTGCTTTATTTACAACAGTTGGAGGTCTTTGGACACTTTTATTGCATTCAGGAAAGGAGGATCAACCTCAGTCAACCTGTTGGGTTTATTTATGTGCATACCTTGTCATTAGCACCTGTGGCAACTACTGTGATGTTATTTTGTATTTCAGTATTGGTGTATGATATGCCATGAGCACATGTTTATATTTGGGAACATTGTATGTATTTTGGGTTGTGGACCACCAACTCAATGTACATGTTTATTTGAAATTTTAATATTTATTCAATATATTTTATACTCAGACATTTCAAGTGTATATAATCTTTTATAGTCTTCCCTTGGCGTTTCTTGCTGTTTTCTACATTTACACGCTAGGGATCCTTGTTTTTTATGCTTCTTGGTATATAGGATTAAGGCAGAAATTAAATCTTCTTGCATCAACTTTACTATGCAGTGTGGTAGATTCAGTTCAACCATCCTCCAACTTAAGTGTCTCTTCTTCCAACTTAAAGAGCCATTTAAATTGCAGGAAGGCTACTTAGTCTGCAGAAGAACTTCAAACTTTGCTCATTGAAGTAATAGGATAGAGGTAGGATTTTTCCAGTACTCATAATACCTTCAGGTAGTGCTCATAGACCTTGGTTCACAATATGATATATTTTCTAAGTTAGTGCAGTATATCATTATCTGGTAGTTGGCGTCTAATTGGAGTCTGCTTCCAGACGTGCCATTCCATATTGTAGAGCCCTATATTCTAATTTATGTGTCTTGGTCTTGATGATATATTATATTGTGTTAGTACTATGTATAGGTAACCTGAAATAGTTCTCTGGTGTGTCATGTGAGGGTTTGAAACTCATGCTTTTCCCATGCAGTTATGTGGAAGCACACCTGCTGAGTTACACTTGGAACCAGGTGTGTGTATAGACACACACACCCCAAATGACTTAATCAGAGATGGAATGGCAATGGAAGACAAAGGCAGATGTTGTGTGGAGAATTTTTGTCTCCATTCCATGTCCCCCTCCTACAGATTGAGCCACTACTTCTTTATTGTCTAGTGCAGAGAATCCTTGTGACTTTAGCATATAATGTGGAAGGCACCCCTGCCATTTACAGGTACTAGAATGGCAAGCAGATAGCAATCTGTGCTTTTGTAAATTGTTATGAAATACCAAGCAAAAAGTGCTGTTTGTTTATGTTTGGCAGAATGTTATTGCTGAGCATGAAATCAGGAACATTTCCTGTGCTGCCCAGGACCCAGAGGATCTCTGTACGTTTGCCTATATCACCAAGGACTTGCAAACCAGCCACCACTACTGCCATGTGTTCAGTACAGTTGATGTTGTAAGTGATGTAAAAGAATATAGAAACCTTCATGATTTCCTTTATAGATAACCTTGTGTTTCAACTTCCTAAAAATCATCTGCAGATAGTTTGGTTGAATCTTGTGCTCTGGGAATGGAGCTTATTGTCCGTCACATGACTGGGTCCAAAGATTTAAGGAAGGAATCTGGACTTTCCTGTCCTTAAGAGCAATTTACATGCTGCATCCTCCACTACTAGCGTCTCCATTTTCAATGTTAAAAAAATTAAAACAGATTTTCCCAACTTAAACACAATACATTTTGATCATACAAGCTGTATTTTTAAAACAATTTTAGTCATGGTAACAGTAATATTTGAATTACAAGAGAAAACAGTTGTCTCCTGGTTTATATCACACTGCTTATATTCCCTCACCTGTTTGACAATATATCCTTTAATTTTAAAAATGCACAGTGCCTGTTATGCAAAATATATATGTATTGGAAAAGATACATTAGAGAAAAGTCAAAATTATGTAAATTTTTATCATCATAGATCATCAAGATCTTGGGGTATTGGTGGACTGTAAGCTAAATATGAGCAGTCAGTGTGATACAGTGACAAAAAAGGATAATGCAGTATTAGGGTGTGCCAACAGAGGCATAACATCCAGATCACAAGATGTCATAGTCCTGCTGTACACCACATTGGACGGGCCACACCTAGAGCACCGTGTGAAGTCCTGGAAGCCTCACTTCTGGAAGGATGTCGTCAACGTGGAGCAGTTGCCAAAGAGAGCAATGAGGATGATCGAGGCCTAGAGACCAAGCCCTGTGAGAAAAGGCTGAGGGAACTGGGAATGTTCAGTCTGGAGAGCAGGAGGTTGAGGGGGGGGGGACACACGATTGCTGTCTTTAAAGATTTGAAAGGCTGTCAGAGGAGGGCAGGGAGATTTTCTTGTTGGCAGCAGAGGATAGGACTCGCAATAATGGGTTTGAATTACAGGCAGAAAGACACCAGCTGGATATTAGTGGGGGGGAATGACAGTAGGAGTAGTTTAGCAACAGAATTGGTTGCCTAGTAAGGTGGTGAGCTCCCCCTCATTGGCAGTCTTCAAGCAGTGACAGGATGAAAACTCGTCAGGAAAGCTTTAGACTGATCCTGCATTGCACAAGGAGTTGGACTAGATGACCTCTTCCCAACTCTATGATTCTACATTTGCATTTTCAAGGGAACTTTTCATAGAATAGCATGGCAAATTGCATGAAATTTGAAAATATTTATCGGCTTTTCATCCAAGTCCCGGACACAAATCATAGTTCACACTGAGCTATTCAAAAGGGCTCAGAGCCTGGTTTATGAGGTTCCTAGGAAATGCAGTATTGAAATAGCCCACAGAGCTCAGGGAATCTCTGAAGTTGTCTGATATAGCTTGGGGAAACTACCTGCACTATATATGCCTCCCATTAGTCCAGCTTTATGTACAGTCACATAGGATGAACTTAAAAACATACAGAAGACTCTGCCTAGCTTCGGCTTTGCCTAGCTTCAGCTCAGGAGCCAGTTTAGTGTAGTGGTTAAGTGCATGGACTCTAATCTGGGAGAACCAGGTTTGATTCCCCACTTGCAGCTGCTGGGTGATCTTGAGCAAGCCATAGTTCTGTCAGAGCTGTTCTTGAAAGTGCAGCTCTCAAAACAGCTCTCTCAGCCCCACCTACCTCATGGGGTGTCTGCTGTGGGGAGGAGAAGGGGAAAGGAGTTTGTAAGCCACTCTGAGACTCCGAGTGAAGGGCGGCGTAAAAATCCAATCTCTTCTTCTTCTCTCTCTCTTCTTCAGTCACTTTGGAGAGTTTCAGACAAGATTAGGGGCATTGCATGGCTTCCTTACTTCCTTGCTCTTGAAAAACTTCAGCTTCCTTGGAACTGCTCCACCACTTTAGAGTCCACTTTATATTCAAGCAGGTCTCTAAATAAATTTCACCCATCTGTCAAAGCAGTGCATCCCCTTGAGGAACAAAATCAAATCGATCACAAGTGTATGAACCAGGAAGTTACCATTGATTTTAATATAGAGTCATCTTAATGTACTATATCTATTTCAACTATTTCCTGGTAAAGATTCTATGCTAGTAAATTATTTCTGTTGCGTTCAAAAGTTTCTGTACAAGAGTGCATTCTTCATCCGATTAGAATCAAAATCCTCAGCCCTGGTCAACAATGAAAACATTTGAACTGAATAAAAATGAAAATTGTTGCATGGCTCCAATATTTTTCTATACTGAATTATACAGAGGGGTTTTGTTAAAAAAACAACAACCCAGTCTTCATACTCTTAATGGACTTAACAGAGTGTTTACATACCAGCTGATTTTTATTCAGCAATATTTATTGGGAAATACTTGAGTTAATTAAGAAAGGTAATGATAATATATGCCCATATTCTCAGTACCAGACAGATCAGCATCTCTGCAGTTGTGACAGATAGGAATCTAGTGCTATACACAGCTGGCTGCCTTTTCATCTAATGTAGGTGCGTAAATGCATAGTCTAAATATGGTAGGCAAGGTGTGAATATTACTACTAGGTTTATTCTTGTTATCAGGGAGTTACAGTTTTTCCATGTAAACATATCATGCTAAGTAACAGTGCAATGCAAAATACCTTTTCCTGGAAGTAACCCCCATTGAATAGATCTGAGTGGGATTCTGAGTAGACCTGCTTAAAGGTGCCACAGAGTACTTTGTATTTTTGCTAGAGGTGACTAACGACCATGTCTCCTGAAACTTGAAATAATGTATGCCTTTTGTTTCTTCTTTCAAGAATCTGACGTATGAAATCATTCTGACACTGGGTCAAGCATTTGAAGTAGCCTACCAACTGGCCCTGCAAGCCCAAAAATCAAAACCTACAGGTGCTTTGACATCTGAAATGGTAGAAACAAAATCTTCAAAACCGGTGCCTAAACCTCGAGCCAGCATGAGGAAATCAGCGGTATGTATACTAGAAGTAATTTCATTCTCAGTTGAAGTTTTATGCTAGTTCTTAACGTGATGCCTATTCACAGGTGATCTTCCCAGCAAAGAATACTAGCCCTATATTGATCTAATTTCTGATTAAACTACTCTTGTAATCTCTGTGGACTTCAGTCACTTTAGGTAAGAATAGCAGATGAGAATAGTCCTTTAAACACCTATGAGGCAACAGAAGGGATTACAAATTATTTATGGACTTGGAATTCAGCAGTTATACTTAGAGCCTGCAAGGAATCAGAAGAGAAACTGTTCCCCCCAAAACACACACACATGGTCTCTCCCTGTAGCATTTTGTGAACTTTCCAAAGTCTGAGCAGGCTAATCTTCCTGCCTGTTACTAACCTTCAACTGCTGTCAACATTCCATGGTTCCGGCAGCATGTAGTTCTTACCAGACTTTGCTTTTATTGGGTGTGGGCGTAATTTACAAAATAGTATTTTTTTGCATACTTGGGAGTACCTTGAGCATGACTGGGCCAGTATCACTGCTTTTATGTGATGATAAGAAGCACCAACAACTTCACTATCAGGAGCAGTAGTCATACATTGTGTGATACAAGAGTGTAATAACAAAGCACACAGTTTTCATCTATGGATGTTAAGTGACCATAATTTGCTAGGATGCAAATTGATTCAGAATACATTGCATATAGATTCTTTGGGTTACAGACTCTTTCCTGTGATTGATACAACATTGAATTGTCTTTTGAAGATGCTGGTGAGCTTAAAGCCCCAAACTGGGAGCAGCTGGAAACATTTTTCTCAGAATGTACTATTCAGAAAATATTGTAGGAAACCGCCACTCATTCACTTGCAAACTATTCCACAATGTGATCTGATGAGGTGCACTCATATCACGTGGCACTGAATGAATGTGAAAGTATTTACTTCCCACTATGTGGTGTTTGTGTGATTCTCCTTGCAGTGAGACATTTGTCGCACAATTTCATGTCCCTGTCTCAGATCTAGAGACTGAGATCTAAAGTTAAGTTTAAAACAAAGAGCTTGTTGTGCTGTGAAGTTGCTTTTCTTCCAGGGTTTTTGGTTCTTAGGGCCCTTTAGGCTATATTTTTCCTCCCCTGAAACAAATATAGTATGTCTTCCAAGAAGCATTTCGGCCGGCCATGTTATTACCGATGACTTGAACCCATTATTCATACTCTTATGTTGTCTAATGAATTTTCTGATCACGTTCAATAAAGAATTATAAGTTGACACTGACAGCACCCTGTTCTTGCTCTGAGAAGGAGGGCATCTTGGAATGGGTGATTCCCACCAATTCTCAGGGAAGGCAAGACTAAACTCTTCAACTTCCTGTCTCCTGGGTGGGAGTCACCCCGGCCCACTTTGTTTCCTTTGGATCAAAGCTCCTCGCCCTTTTTTACTTGCTTTTCTCATACTTGAGGGAGAGTTTCCTAGCCTCTCCAGCCTTTCCCACTCTCTCTCCACACCTTTTCAGAGCTTCTCTTGGCTCTGCTACTTCTTTTTTCTCTGCAGTTTTTTTCTCCACTCCCCCCCCCCCTTTCATTGGAGGGACATGGAGAAGAATGGCCCAGGAACAAGCCTTGGAGGCTCCAGAGGAATATAAAAAATATTAATCTCTGAAAATGATGGAGACCCTCTCCTCCTTCCTTGTCTCTCATGAAGAGATCTCCCTCACCGACTCTAGTCTGGAGTGGCCTAGGAAAACTGCCATGGCCCAAAACAAAAGCACTTAAGAACGTACCATAAAAAAGGCACAAAAATAGCACCTCAGGCACAAATGGCTCTCTTGGCTTCAAGTCCAGCCCCTGGGGCTACGATGGCACACCAGGCTCCTCCACTGGATGCCCACCACTCTCTCAGCTGCCAGTTTCCTCTGTTGGACCCCCTCTGAACCAGAGGAACTTCTTGACTACTAGAATGGATCTTCAGGGGCTAAGGTGCTGACTCCCTTACTTCCCAAGGTTGTGGGCGGGTGGAATCCTTGCTTGGCTGAGATTATGGAATTTTAAAAAACAGCTGTGAGAGAGGAACTGCAAGGCATGCAAGAACACTCCTCTCACATGCCATCTCAGGGTCCCACAAGGAATGGTCTAGGCGTAGGGAAGAGCATGTTTCATCCTATCAGGACCTGCAGTCTCAGTGGCCCACAAAGCTTCTTCCTCCAGTGCCACCCCTGACAGGGCCCAGGGCAGCCTCTCAGGGGTAGACAGTCACAGTCAGAAAACCTGAGAGGGAGGAAGGAGAGTTTTCTTCAGTTGCTGACCAACCCATGTGCCTGTTCAATGCGGACAACAGAAATCCCTGACCCTGGAGAGAAATTCTCAGGAAGTAAATCCAGGCCCTGGGGGAACAAGGAACTTTGGTTGGTTGGTTTCCTTTGCCTGTTTTTTTTCAAAAGGCTGATGAAGAAGAAGAGGAGGAGGAGATTGGATTTATACCCCACCCTTCACTCAGAGTCTCAGAGCGGCTTCCAAACTCCTTTCCCTTGCCCTCCCCACAACAGACACCCTGTGAGGTAGGTGGGGCTGAGAGAGAAACTGCTCTTTTTCAAGAACAGCTCTTATCAGAACTATGGCTTGCCCAAGGTCATCCAGCAGGTACAAGTGGAGGAGTGGGGAATCATGCCCAGTTCTCCCAGATTAGAGTCTGCGCACTTAACCACTACACCAAACTGAAGGAAGAGTGGGCCAAGCCTATATCTAACGAACAGTTCCCAAATGTTGCCAAAAGCTTTATTCCTTGGCTCCTCACGGTCAGGGCCATGCTAATGCAGGACATATGGGGCAACGCCTCCTCCCAAATTTTCAGTGCCCCCACCAAATCTAAGAGCCCACCGCATGAGGCATTTTTTCTGCTGTGCCATGCCCACCTCCTTGGATAAGCCAGAAGTGGCTGCCACGCAGCCTGGGCAGAGCAGCTCCTCCTCCTTGTACCTTCCTTCCAGCACATATCCGGAGTAGCTGGGAGCTGCCTAGGAGCTGAGTCCGCGCAGGAGGAACATCTGTCCAGCACCTGGGTAAGACCACCGAGGCACCAACGTTCAGCCCTGACGCAGGAGGGCATGCTGGCCAACTTCTCCAAGTGCGCACAGCATGCAGACACCACTGGCGGCGCTCTGGGTCATGCAGGGCCTTCTCCAGCTCGTTGGCCTGTGGCAGACTTGTGGAGGACGAGAGGAAGGGAGAGGTTGTGATGCCAGGGACCCAGGCGGCCAGGCTGGCGAGAGGCCACATTCTAGGTCTGCTCTTGTGGAGCGTTCCTCAGAGTTGTGAGTGGTGGACAACTTCAGCTTCTATTCTATTCTATTCCATTGTAATTAATTTCAAAACACTGTTTAGTATTAAGCAAAACTCCTTTTTCCCCACCCTTCCTCCATCCAGAGTTTCCCAGTGAAAATCGTCTGCCTGTGGGGCTGCACACAGTATGGAATTCTTGCAGGTTCCCCTAGTGGATGCTCCAGTAGCAGTGCTACACTACAATCCAGAGGATGTTTTATCTGTATTGAATGGATTGGACAGAAATGCACACTATGTGCTGTGGGAGTCACATGAGGCCACAGCAATGACCATCAGGGCAGCAGCTATCTCTGCCTTAATCTCTGGAGCAGCCACTGTGTGGGCTCAGAAGCTGGTCCAACTCACTCCCAGCAACAACAGAAGGGAAATAGAAAGCACCAACTGCATTCTCAAGGAAGTCACCTTCCTAGCGGATGCCTCCCTCAATGCAGTGACCTTTGCATCCTACTCCATGGCAGCTGCTCTACGGCCAGGCATGTTCTATGGCTTTGCGCATGGCAAGCGGATCCCCATTCATAATAATAGTCTACCCACTCCTGGTGAAAGGCTGTTCAGGGCTATCTTCACAAGATCTTACTGGAAATTGGCCATGCTCAAAGAGAGTGGAGGGATGATGGAAGATCCTTTCTCTCTCATCCCTTTCATTCCCATCACACCTTTACACAGATTAGACCAGACCAAAGGAGGGGCCTGTGGTCAAACATCTGAAGCCCCTTTCAGTAAGCCCCAACTTCAGATCATTCCAGCTTCAGTCATACAGATTTGACAAGCCGAAATGCCTGGCCAAGCAAAGAAACCATAGCACCAGGGACACTCTGGTAGGTGACCAGCTTCAGGGATTCCAACCCAATGGCTTCAGTCTCAACCAGACCACTGGGTTCTACAAACCGTCCAGTCTTCATGTACCATAAAGTTTTGCACCTCTTTCAGTCTCCCAGATTTCTCTCTCTTTCTTTAAAAAAAAATACCTACAATGGTACAGGCTATAGAGCCAGTTCCCTTCTGCAAGCATCGCTCAAGAGTTTACTCCATATTTTTCATGGTACCTAAGAGAAACAGGGACTGGAGAGCCATTCTTGACCTGAAGTATGTGAACAAGTACGTGATCCACCAGCACTTTCGCATGGAGACCCTATGATTCATCGGACCTTCACCTCTCTCACAGAAGTCTACTCACACATTCTCATCCTTCTAGGACATCTCAGGTTTCTCCAGTTTACCTCCAGGTCATGGCTCTACCCTTTGGCCTGGCATCAACTGCTTGGATCTTCTACAAGGTTCCTATAGCTCTAGTGGCATTGATCCAGCAGCAAGGAATCAAAATTCACCCTTAGCTGGATGACATTGTGATCTGTTCTCCCATTCGGGAGCTAGCAATCAGGGACACTCTCTTCTTTTTTTTTTTAAGCCCCCGGAGGGGATTTTTTTATTGCATTTTTATAACACTACAAACTACAACAGAAAATGGGAGGGGGGACTACATTTATAGGATAAAGAAAGATACCCACTACTGACTAAAAACCCAAGAGAGGAGATCATCCCACCAGCTTAACCATCCATTTAGTCTTAATCCCATTATAAACTTGACTCAGTTGATGGTAAGATTATCTTTTTCATATCTTAAGTTTAACTGTCATACAGAAACACCCCAAAGCATCTCACTTCAACATTTTTTAAAGGCACAATTCAGAGTCCTTCAGCCTTTACTTCTCCTTGCCTAGTCTCTTCTGAAGCTTATAAGGACTTTTAGGGGCTGCCGCCCCTTTCTCTGATAGAGAGTCCTCCCTGGAGGATTCCGAGTCCAGCTCACCATTGGACTTACTGTCCTCCCCTTTTTCTCCTTCCTTCCCTGGCCCTCCCACCTGGACTCTTAAAAATTCCCATGCTTTCTGGACAGAGTCAATCTTTTCTTTTTTATCCTTGATTTTGAAGGTTATGCCTTCTGGAGTTAACCATCTATATCCAATTGCATTTGTCTGTAGAAAAAGAATTAATTCTTTATATTTCTTTCTCCTTTGTCTTATTTCAAATGGAATGTCTTTTAACGTCCTGATGATTCTCTCCCTTTGTCTCTGGCAAGCCCTGGAAGCGAAGGATCATATTAGCCTTTTCCATTTGTAATTGTAGCAGTTGATCTTCCATAGAAACTTGCTTCTTTTCCAGCTTTTGAACTTTCTTTTTCACCTTTTGTGCAGTGGCGTCCACTTCTTTCACCTTTTCAGCCGTTTCATTCATCATTTTAAGTGTCTCGGTTATCTGTGTCTGCTGTGTGGTGATGCACTGAGTCATTTTCGACATCTGATCCTTGAGGTTACTCATTTGGTCCAGTAGAGGACGCATGGATTCTGCCAAAGTCTTTGCCAGCTCGTTAGCTCCTTCCGGTTTAGGGCTCTCCGTTAAGTTTCGATTTTGAAAGTTTCTCTTTCTCCGTCCTCTTCCCCGCCATCTTTCTCAGTTGTTTACTTTGAAAAATATTTTGAAAGTCTCTGAATATGCATTCAAATGCCTGAACTCGCCTTGGTAAGTATTTCTTAACAGTTATGCATGCCTTCTCTTCCACTCCCCCCCCCTCAATTCGCTCAAAAGTTCATGCAGTTAGGAGGTGTCTCTCCCCTGCCCGCTTCACTTTCCATTTTTCAACATGGAGTAGGGAGATTTCTTTTTCTCTTTAACCGTCGTTTCGCTCAGTCAGACTCACGTTCATATCTGGTCTTCCGGCCCCGCTTTACTTCATTTCATCCGCTCGATCTCCTACTTTTGCCCCAGTCAGCGTCACTAGGTCCCATTCGGGCACTGCGCAGGAAGGACCATTGGGATGGAGAAACACCTCAATTCACCCACAATGCGTAGGCGAAGAGGCGACTCCTCATAAGTCCCCTGGCTAGGAGCCTTCCGCCAGGCTCCCTGGGAGGGTAACGGGGCAGCGCTCCCCCTCCTTCACGCCATGCACAGACCTCATCCCCGGGAGGTCCGGGAGATGTGTCTGTCTAGCGTGCCGCCATCAACCAGACGTCTCAATCAGGGACACTCTCAACACCATACAGCTCCTGGAAATCCACCGCTTCATTCTAAACAAGGAGAAGAGCAACCTTATCCCCTTGCAGGGGCTACAATTCCTCATAGATACGTGCCAGAATATGCTGTACTCCCCTGGAAAACAAGGCCTCCAGGATTTTGAGATTGGCTAAAAGATCTGGTCAAAGCCAAGCCTACTCAACTGATGACCCCTCCAGGCCTAATAACCTCCTGCATAGGGACAGTTCCATGGGCCCAATTACACACCAGACCACTTGTGATTATTCCAGCTCAAGCAGGGCTGGCTCTAGGCAGATTGGCTGAGCAGACTATCAATGAAAATGAATGGTCCATCAAATGGGAGATTTTCCTACTAATTGAAGCCAGATTTGGAATGCCAGAAGTGGATTTGTTTGCCTCAGCACCTAATCAAGTACCAAGATTTTTCTCCCATCTCCCTCAGTCAGAACGAGCTGATGTTGGAACATCTCTGTGGCCCAAGGGCCTATAGTACACCTTTTTGCACCCTCCCAATGACCCCAGGCTCTATGGAAGATACGTCAGGAAGACATGGAAGTGATCTTTGTGGCTGCAAATTGGCCCCACAGGCCATGGTTTTCATCCTTGGTGGACCTCTTAGTTAAGGCTCCTTGGAAGATTCCCATGAGCCCAGACATGTTGCAGCAGGGGCCAGTTTGGCACATGGATCCAGAATTGGGTCCATCTGAACATGTGGCCCTTGAAAGGAATGGGCTCCTGAACCTCGACTTCTCCTCAGGGCCTCTACAAAATACAACATGGGAAAGAACCTTCTCATGGTGGTGCCAATGCAACCACATCAACCCTGGCCTGGGCCATTGGTTGGCCTTTCTTCAGAGGATGTTCATCAAAAGGGTTTTTTTGTTTTGTTTTTTAAAAAACCCTTCATTGCCAGGTAGCAGCTATTGTCATGATCCTACTTTATGTAGTTGGCATCCCCTTATCAAGACACCCTCATATCTTCCACTTCCTTCAAGGGGTTACACAGATCAACCCTCCTGTGGTCCACGGATTCCCTTCATGGAGAGTGTATATGGTTCTTTTGCCTCTCACTACTACTTTCGAGTCCTCTTAAATGGCTGTGCTCTCTCAGCAGTGACTTCAGCTAGAAAGATGTCATATCTGGGAGCCTTGTCAGCCAGACAAGATCTATGTATCTTCCACAAGAGCAAGGTGGTGTTCAGCCTGGATCCAATTCACTAAGGCGAATTCAACTTTCACATGAGTCAAGGGATTCACCTCCCTTCCTTCTGTCTGCGTTCTAATCACTCAGAGGAGAGTGGCACTCTTCTGACCTTCAGAAGACCCTCAGAATCCATCAGAAAGGTAGACTCTTTTCATTTTGTTAATAGTCCCAAATGAGGAAGATGTCCAAATCAGGCATCAGCTGCACCATTCAACAGTGCATC